AACCCCCCAAACAGCTAAGGTACTGTCAAAGTGCCAAACAACAGGAACCGTGAAATGATTGCTGTCGTTACGTTTGGGATGGTTTGTGGACTAAACCTGGGAACTTCTGAACCTCGAGCCTGGCTGGAAAAGTGAGAAAGGCTGCAGGCTCAGGCCCACCTAATGAGACGCGACACACCGCTTTCCCTGTGCGAGGTGAACGGAGCTCGACAGATTCTTCCGCTGCCCACGCAGAATTTAAATTACCGAGTAGAAGAGTAGTCGACTTGCTCTTACACTTTCACTGATCTCTGAAACTACATATCCCAGGTATTTGGTAAAGTCATTCCAAATAGTGTCAATTAAACACTTCCTCTACAAACGGAAAATCTCAAAGCTACCCACGTACACCAGAACCGATTTGCTCAGGTGAACAAAACCTGCCTGTTAGGAAGAAAGTTCGTTAAAAGGGGACCTTTTAGCAGCCTAGCTGCAGAAATCCGGAACACAATCTTTATTTTCAGTGATTAAAATAGTGATGCTTCACATACTTTAAAATAAATAATAGTGAAAAAAAATAATAAAAAGGAGATCCAACCGTCCCCAAAACTCAACTTCTTGCAGTGTTGATTGAGAGGGAATGCACTTCTTTTTACTGCCAGCAACAATATTTCGCATTATCCTTCTCACAAACAGGATGTCTGGAAAATTATAACTCAGCCAAGCTAGATGTTGAATCTAAAATTTGCAATTTGTCACATTCCACTGGGAGGGAGATATGGAGCGAGTCGTGGAGTGTCTTTTTACACCTTTTTTCGCCTCCGCAGATCAGGTCGGTTCCTAGGACCGCGTGGTGGAGACCAAAGTGCTGGTTTCTCAGGCAGTCTCTGTGGAGCCTGCATCCAACTCATGCAATAAAATCTCTGGATCTGAACGTGAAATGAGCTGCTAGGTAAAGCCTCAGCAGGGAGAACAGAGGGCTAGTGAAAATACCGAACCATTTGAGCACCTGTTTTTCGAGATAGACAGTTCTCTTTGTGTTTCAGGAACCTTCCTTTTCCCCGGCAGCTATTGGGATGCTTGATCCTATTCAAGAGAACGCATCGCTTCCTTTCTTCCCCTATAACCAGCCCTCAGCGCCCCTCACTGCGGGGCCATCCCCC